CCATTAGCTTTCTTAGTCACTATACTATTTTTATTTATTTTTTTGTCCCACCTTTATCCTTTACGCTAGGTTCTAGCATAGACAAAAAGAATTAAATGTAGACTGTCAGCCAAGCTGCGGTTACCATGGTTACCATAGGTTCTGGCGCACACCCCTGGGAGCGCCGTGTAGTTACGTAGCGTGTACACCGTAACTATATGGCGCTCCCAGCGGTGTGGGCCTGAACCTATGGTAACCGCAGCTGCCGCAGGGCAGCTGACAGTCTATATTTAATTCTCTTTGTCTATGGTTCTAGCCTGGAACTTCCATTACTACATTACATTACATTACTAGTGGGGTCGTAGCATTATCACATGTGGATAAAATCTATTGGTGATTGGTAGGATTTGAACACGGGGCCTTTAGCTCCGAATTCCTGAGCTCTACCAGTTATTTGATTGAAGTGACTTAATCAGCTGATAATATTTTTACAACCTAGTCGTTGAACGTGGATTAGGAGCAAATCCTTAAGGAATATTTCTTATACTTTACTTTACTTTTACTTTCTTATGAAATGGCGACCATACAATGTAGGTATTTTAAGCCTATAGCAAAGTAAAAAAAATAATTGATACATCTTGGCGATTATGTTGTAAATTTAGGCTTGTTAAAAGTAAAACATTATGTTGTTAGAGGGTTCTTTATCTTATAGAGAAGGGTCTTAAATCTTCATCCAGTGCTGGATCTATTAAGGGACTTATCTGAGGAAGGAGCCACTTGAACCACTAGACTCTGAAGTATGAAGTTCAACACTGAACATTCAGCTCTACAGAAATTGTAATTTACAACACTGTACCTTAAAATGATAAATTTGAGTACTGTTAGACAGTTTGACAAAATTGGACTGTGGACATTGCTGGCATGACTTACAAGTCTGGTATTCTACCATAATAACCACCAAATAACAAATAACCTAATCTTAGTTCAACTTATCTTTAATGAAATACTCTTGTATGAAATTATTTGATAATTTTTTTAGCATGAAGTGTTAACAAATTTCATCCTCACTAATTTAAATCTTAATAATTAGAAAGAGTTTCCATTGAGGAATTACCAGAAGACCATTGATTAAAGGGAAGCGACATATTCTAGATCGAGGCACATCAAGCATAGCAATAGCGCACCTAGTATTTTACAATAGAAGACCAAAGTTTTAGGGTTTCATTATACACACACTGCAACAAACCACCAGACTGAACTAATTTAATTTTGTTTAATTGGATTGAAAGTAAAATATTTCCATAACAAGTCATATTTTATTTCCCCAGTCCCCATTTAAATTGAATGATATTTAACAAGTACTTAGGTTTGCTGCTACAGGGAAGGGAAAAAGTATTTTGATGTTATTTGTAAAACTATAAGAAAAAAAATGGCCAATCTCTATGAAAAAATACTCATAGACAACCAAACTACAAGAGTTTAGTTACTCTCCATAGAAATGTATAATTTTAAATTTACAGTTTTATGGGATTTTCTCCATAACCATTAAACGTACAACACTTCAATGTACTAAATTGTTTGTTTTTAAGCTCTACATAATGGTTTTGAACAAAACTGCAACATTTTATGTTTTGAGTACAAAAAATTTAAAAAACAATTTTTTTCATAAAACCAAGTTCCCATGGTCCGATTATGCTTGTTCGCCTACTCGTTTCAACAAACCTAGGTTTACTTTTTTTTACAAATTTCATCAAAATATTCAAGAAAATTATTCCTCGAGTTATCGATGGTGTTTTTCACCTCTGGGGACCTCAAATCAAATTGAAAATATAAATCTGAAGTAAAAGGATCTCTTTATATTCCCAGTCCATTTCCACTACAGCCTCTTCGGGAACTAGTCTAGCCTTTCATTCATCAGGACAGTTTCTATAGACTGCCTTCGTACTAGCATACCTTAAAAGGAGTGAAAGTTGAATTACTATAAGATGCAACTCTGTGAGAATACTCACAACTCGCAATGGAAACTGGTTTCTAGTGTTTACATTTGAAATTAATTGTTCCTGTTTACTGGCAGTTTCTTTAAAGGATATTTGGAATACTTAAAGATTTGTCTGAGAGGTGCTGAAACGGAGTAAAACAATTATGCGATTCATGCTACACATTCATTTTTATTCTGAAGTAACGATTAGTTATAGTGCTCATCTTCAAAGCGGAAGCATAGACTAATCGACAATAGTAGTTTTCTCCACTGTAAATTTTGAACCTCGTTTTTTGTGTCTAGTTCATCAATGTGAAATATAATGTTATTAAGACATACTATTTGTTCTGCCCATGGTGAAGAGAACAAGAAGACATGGTGATTCTTCACTGCCTTTTCCACAAACTGTTAAATAATTAAGCCAGAAAAGGTTTGAACACCATCCCACATTATAAGAAAAATTTCCTGTCACTTCTCTGGATGCAATATAGAAACTTATAGAAGAATCAAAAGGTTAAGTAAAAAAAAGTTACACAAAAACAAATTCAACAGCTGGTGTATCATCAATATTTTAAATGTGATAAAATACTTTGATTGAAGTTCCTGTCCTTAGGAGAGGGTTATCGGAAAAAAACTTATATTTTACAGGGAAGAGATTCACAGCAAGCCCTTTCATTCAAGTATGCAGTTGATAGGTGTGCGGCACAGTTTTCTCAAAAGTTCAAAACCATCCTAGCTTTATACAAGGCCTAGATGTGTAAATTTAAAGGCCGTTATTATAATTTTTATCCCAGAAAAAAAGAGGTGTCACTAGATACTTTGTAATCTGTGTTTTTGTAGGTAATTTAAGTTGTTATTTAGTTTCATTATTTAGTTTCTTTAGAAAGATGGGAAGAATTTAATTTGAACTCTTGGAATGAGAGTAGACTGAAACACTTGAGCTAAAGTTCATTGACACAAATGAAGAAGCTGTGTTCCAGACAGGCTGTTGAAGGGTTATCTTCTCTCTCAAACTCTTCTTTTTCTCTCTTCCCCCCTCTCTCTCTCTTCACTCTAACCACTCCTTGAAATTACTCCTTTCTACATAATGTGGGGTTAAGGATGCATGCAAGGTTTTCCACAATGAATTGCAGTTTTGATTTTTTTTTTTATACTTGTGAGACTAACTTTTTTCTTAAGATTTTTTAAAATAATTTTTAATTAATATTTTTTATTTTGATCGTTTAAATCAGTAGTTTTAAATAGGCCTAACAAAATTCTATACAAGAGTTAAAGTGTAACTCAAAGACCATACCACAGCCAAATGGTAGTTCAAATATTGCAGTTTTATCTGACATTAGTGTTGTCGCTTGGTTGATTTTGATTTTAATTACTGTATTCACACTTAGCTAAACCTAAGGGAGTATGTTTTATCTATGGCTAAACTTTGTTAGCAATTCATTGTTTATTATTTTAGTAGGGTAGAGTAGTTTTCATTACGAAAAATTATGGGGATAAAATCCTTTGAAGAATACCGTAACTCTTAAAATACATAGTTAAGAGGTAGGCCTATATAGGCCTACAACAAATTTAAATATTTGCAAATTCATGACAAATATCATTTAACAAACTTATTGCATTAAATTATGTTAGCTACACTTTTATCACCAGCTTTGAAAATTCTTATAACATGAGTCATTTTAAGGTACAGAAATCTGTTATGTTTTAGGTATATCTAAAAGAAAGAACTATATTAGGCTATAATTCTGAAAACCAGTAAAAACATTGTCTGTTACTACTTGTGATTAACGATTTCAACAATCATTTATTATTAACACAAACTTCCCATCAAAATTAAGATAAAAGACTTTGAAAAGATTTTTAAACATGAGAAGAACTTTGCAGAATGCATTTTCACAAACTAAGAGTAGTATAAGTCCGAGTGGCGGTTCCAAGGGAGGGGATTGAGCCCTCCAATTGGACCCTGGAAATATGAATTTAAACCTACATTTTCTCATAAAAACGTTACAGAGATTTTTTAATGCAGCTCTAGACGTTAAAAATGGCTTTAATAAGTCACCGCAGATTTTAGGAGGATTGGAGGAACACCCCCCCAGTAGCCCCCCCCCCCCCCCCCCGCCCGACAAGGTCCTAGAACCACCAGTGCATAAGTCTCTTGGTTGAAAGTCTTGAATTCAGAACAAGATTCCAAAACATGAGTTACAGTACGTGAGTCTGCGGAATGTTTTTTTCACCCGTCATATGTTAGTATCCAACAACTCACCAGTAGACAATGAACAGCTGTGAGGTCAAGTACTACTGGATTGACACTAATTACAGAGTCAAAGGTCGTAGAAGTCGCAACTTATCTTCAACTTTTGTGAATTATGAATGTTTGTTCCTTGACCACTCGCATTCATTTTGAGGAACTGATTGACGATGATTAACTACCAATACATAAAGTGCCTTCTTTTATTCTATTAAAATATACTTCAAGTAATACTGTAATGACAAGTAAAGTGAAAAAGAACTACACATCTTTCCCGATTATCTGTACACTGCCGTAAAGCGACAATTTGTTTCTTGCACATTTCTCTATCGATAATAGGGATACTTTTTTTGGAAAAAAGCATGCACAGAAAGTTTTCATCAACCAGGCTAATTAATTTTACTGTTAAAAATGTTATTATCTGCTCATATCTAATATAACACATTCCCCTCAATTGACACCATTACATTCAATAACACTCTAAGGTTTACTTTTAAATCTCAGTGATTTATTCTACCTTTACATTTTTCTGTCTGAGTTTCTACTAAAACTAGACCTGCATGGACACAAATCTATTTCATTACACCTTTTAAGCACTAACCATGTGTATGACAGTACCTAGGTTGAGGTTCATAGGAAAGGTTGTTTAACTCAACCAGTTTACAAATTCAGTGTGGATAAGAGACTATTTTGTCCCGAGCTGATGCTGATTATCAGAACAGCAGGTAATCACTGATCGATTAAGAGACTGTCTATTGAATTGCAATATCTGATTGTTGTTCTTGTATGTTGCAGTTACAAAGTAAAAGAGAGCTGTTCTTCAAGAATGAGCTGCCGGCGGCTACTGGGACACCCAACTCCACACCCGCTCCGACAGCCCCGCCACCCGCCGTACCCAACACACCCAACAACCTCAAGGAGGCCCTGGCCAAGCGAGCTGCCTCCACCGACAGAGGCAAGTACACATCGGCGGGTTTAACTTAAGATGGCTTTCCCTACTATTTTGTCATTAAAAAAAAAAAGGCTTAAGCTAGGTTAAAGTTTAGTTTAACCTAGCTTTTCTTTGTAATGCTTTTCTAGCTTTGCTTTAGCTATGACCCCACTATGACATATCTGTCAATAATTTTCTCGTGTTTTGGTTGTTTGTAATAAGTTTCATGTCATTGTCTCCAATTATTGACATTAAAAAGAAACGTATTTGTAGGCTACTGCTAATTGATAAGAATTTCTTGTGTTGAATTAAGCTCAAACTTGCGTAGGCCTACAGTACACATAAAATAACTGCATTAATTACAATCATGGGAAAATAAAATGATGGAAAAGACGCTAAATTAATGTTAGTGGATTAAAAACCAGAGCCTATTCTTTGTAATGGCAAGTCTAGGCTACTCAGCATTAGACACGTTCGATCAATGTTTTTAAATTTTAATTTTAGGCCTACTACAATAGTTATTCATTTACACATGATACTGCTAGCCTACATGTGTTGTCAGTCACTCCAACTGGACATCCTTAACACCAAAATACATAATTTTAGTCACGAACCCTAGTGTTCTGTTTACAGTAACAACGCCCTCTGAGAACTCAGCGGATCCGGAGAGACTTACGAAGGCGGAGAGGGACAAGGCTGTGCCGGAGAGACGGACCAAGGAGCTCGACGGATATGTCGGTTTTGCCAACCTTCCCAACCAAGTCTACCGCAAAGCTGTCAAGAAAGGGTTTGACTTCACGCTCATGGTGGTCGGTGAGTGTCTAACAAGAGTTTTGTGTTATCTAAGGGGTTATTGTAGACAGTTTTCATAATACTTTGTGGCCATTCTTCACGTTGTAGAAATCTATGCTGTTGCCCGGAACATTTTTGCACGTTGTCAGGTTAGGCCAAGAGGGCTGTTTATCACATAGCTAAAAAACTTTCAAGATCCAGGACCTCGAGGGGTTCTAAGAAGCTTTCCTACTACAACCTCGTTTGCCTCCATCACATTTTGTACAAACAAGTTTCCATGAAATTTCACTGGAATCAAATCCTGACCTTGATTTGATAAGAAAGTGCCTAAAACATATAACAAGATTAAGACAGAAACCTAGCCAAAGCTGTACAATCGTAAAATCAAATCCACACAGAGAATTGTGTAGTTAAAACAAGAAACAAAAATTCTGAAAGAAAACCAACAATTAGTGCAAATGGAAGGTAGCTTTTAATACTTTAATACTTTTCAATCAAATGGCGACCATACAAAGTAGGTATTTTAATCCAAGTATGAATGGAGATGAATGTAGGATGAGTGGCGCCGATCTTGTAGTCTTGTTAATAAATAAGGCCGACATATTCCTTAGAAACAGATGTTAATTAATAGCCCATACAGCTAATGGCAACTAAGGGACCTACAGTTTATAGTAGAATCCAAACCACATTATTTATGCCTTGGTGTAGGCCTATACGAATTGGTCTAATTATCAGGATAGTACTGCGGATAGTGGTAGTTCTCACTTGTGCAGACGTTAATCCACACCAGGGAGTATCACATCCACAGTGCATGCCTATAAATATCCACAATTCGCAACCTCCTATTAGGTGGATTACAGGACGACGCCACCCGTCCCAGTTTATATGATAGCTCAAGCAAGATTGGTATTTTATCAATTTTTCTCCATTCTTAGGGCTCCATCTTTATGGCTTGGGAGAAATTGTGTATCTGATTCTAAAAATCAATTATAAGTTATAAGCTTGGCCTTTTTTAATGTACAGGCTTCTAATGTGCTTTAATCACAACATATCAATTTTGGTTCTATTGTTTACTCTATCTATTTCTACTATTTTTTTCCTTATTTTTAAAATTTCATACCAACTGATCTTATCGAGTTTACCCATCAAACCAAGCTGTTATTGGGAGAAAGTTGATGAATATGCTACCGTCACCGACAGTTCTGTAAGTTCCCACATTAGAACTTTTGAGCCATCGTGTTAAACAATACCCACAATTATGGCTCCCAATATAAATTGTGTGGGAGCCAGCTCTCGACGTGATCTTTGTTCAAACTGTTTGAATAGTACGAGTAACGTTTACTGTGAAATTTTGAATTTGTTGCACAATATTTAGCTGATAATTAGTGATGCGTCAATTTCATTTAATAAAATTATTAATATCTCGTTACCCGTTTGTGTATGTAATATTTTAACTTCCTAGCAAGTATATAAGTGTTGTGCATTAAAGCAAACGGAATTCCCTGAAAAACAGATTACATACAAACCAAACACCATTTTTAAGTGGTGTTGAGGAATGGAAAACACAACTCCATAGAAATAAATAAAGTTAAATATTTTTCTCACCACAATTGTCAAATTGTAGATTCAAAATCTGTTTAAAATGTAAAACTCATTATTTGAGCGATGTAAAGTTCTCGTTTCTATTTTTGATTAAGGAGGCACATGGAGCTCTCAGGAAACATAAATTATCTGTGTTGTCTAAATATAATTGTTGCTGTCTCAGAGAGGTAGGAGTTAAGTTGAAAGATGAGATTAAAACCTACTTAGTTATTTATGGGACCACTAAAACACCATACATATAACAGACATAGTCTTTCAAAGACTGACTGTTAATTTGATTAACTTAAACCACCTTAAAATGACTAATTTAGTCTCTTCCTCAAAAGATGAGCTTACTTCATAAGTTTTCCATGAGTTAACAAGTCCATATTGAAAGTTTTTTGTGAGGATCGGAGGCTTATTGGATTAGAAAATTGTTTATTCTGGCACAAGAAATACTGAAAATTACACTAAACACAAAAATTAGAACATTTCATTTCTAGTGACAGAATTTTCAATTTCAACCAAGTCAGAGTGAAATTTCAGGTCTAATGGTGACCAGTAAATTGTACCTCTTTCCCATTCCTTAAAACCAAAGCCCTTCTGCTCTATGCTACAACCTCAACCTCACACAGCTAATTTTTTTAAACTTCAATCTAATTTCTTCAAAACCCATGTATCACAGAGTAACCTTATGGCTTGTATTCATGAGTTCAATGTGTGTTTATAGGTGAGTCGGGTCTTGGCAAGTCTACACTGATCAACTCCATGTTCCTGGCAGACATCTACAGCGAAGCACATCCCGGCCCTTCACTCAGAGTCAAGAAAACTGTTCAGGTAATTGAAGCGTACTGCTTGAAGTGTTAGGGTTTTAGCAAATTAAGCGCAATTTTGTCAAAAGGGAGTCAACCTCAGTTGGTATTCAATTGGCTGTTGATGGATGTGTTTGGAGAAAAGTGTATTAGATGGACAATATTGGTAGAAGGTATACATTTGCATGACACGGCCAGCAGGACGCCTTGCTCAGTACAGCGCTGCCTGTCAGTCCCTATCGAAACAGCGATTAAAGTAGAGGAAGTGTTGCGTTTGCGGCTCAACAGGTTTATGATTACCAAGCTTTCGTTTTTTCCTTGGTATTCTTAGGGATGTCCTCTATCAGTTTAACAATCCATCATTCATACCGCATTCAAACTAGCCTTAACTTGGTCACTGCCACCATTAAAACTGATGAATAATCTCAGCAGCCTGCTCTTTGCTAAACATTGTGAAAATATTTGCGACCGTTCCTTCTATAATTTAGCATATTTACTACCGGTACATAAAATCACTTTTTATTGTTCACATTCCTTAACTGGTGATGAAATTTGAAAGGTGTTGACCCTCGTATCACAGAAACCTAATCATGGAATACAATTCAAACTTGGCAGGAGTTTAGATTTTCTCTCTCATTGTTTTACTTTACAGAGACTTGTTGTCAATTGAATTGGAGACTGCATAAAATTGTAGTGGAAAGTAAAGAACTTGACACTGGTATTAAATTTGAAGTGGCACACCTGGCAACTTCTTTAGCTTGTTGAAGACGTAATTTTACTGAAAACACTTGTAACTTTGCAATAGTCAAGTTGAAATTGATAAATCAGATTTTACAGCATTAAAGTACAGACTATTGGATCTAAAGCAAAGGCATATGAGATATCCTAAACATTAATCCTATTTACCTATTAATCCCATTACCTATTTGTAAATGCTCAAGCAGGTTTAAAATCTCACAATGACCAATGACTGTTTCTAATGAACATTCTAATGAACATATCTCATCATGTCAGTGTTGGACTTGAGCTGTCTGTTTTGGAGATTTAGATGAGTTTGTTGATAGGTGGAGACCAACAAAGTGGTGTTGAAGGAGAACGGAGTCAACCTCAGTTTGACAGTTGTCGACACTCCAGGGTTTGGTGACGCAGTCGACAACTCCAACTGTTGGCAACCTGTAATCAACTACATCGAGTCTAGGTGGGTGAAGAATCAGTCGAGGGAGTCGTTTTTAAGCTCTGTCCCAATTTTGATTAAATTTTGCTACATTAAAACCATAGTAAACCATATTTTCCTGTTATTCGTTATTCTGGGTTTTCTTGGTTTGAAGATTTCAGTTGGTATCACAAAAATAACTAGAATTACCACTTCAGTGCTGAGGACCACTTTGTTTACGACCAGTAGTGGGGGGTGATCACTGAGCGCCGGCTTGTTTTCAGCACTGTATTTTCATGCCAGGGAAAGATCCAATTAGACTATATTCGAACCTCTATAAGACGAATTTTGTACGTGGGGGGTAAATTCATATTATCAAGGAATTTGTTTTACCGAAGTTCGTACTAACGAGGTTCGACTGTATATAAATTGCTGTTTACACCAGCTAAGTAACAAACTGTAAACGTATTCCATGCGTAATTAACTCTATATGTGACTTAGTGATATGCAAAATCATTTTGTCTTGTGAAGTGCACCAGCAAAAACGGTTGGGAAATAGTTTGTGACAACTTTGAAAAAGCCACTGAGGTAAACGAAAAATCCTGGTTTCAAGCACTTTTTCTATAGGCAGCGGATATTGACAATATTTACTCGTCCACAGATATGAGGAGTACCTGAACGCTGAGTCTCGAGTGAACCGCAAGCCTCACCAACCAGACACCAGGGTGCACTGCTGTCTGTACTTTGTGGCTCCGTCAGGTCATGGGCTCAAGCCCCTCGACGTGGAGTTCATGCAAAGACTCCACGAGAAGGTCAACATTATCCCTGTCATAGCGAAGGCTGACACCATGACGCCCGACGAGTGTGCGCACTTCAAGAAACAGGTGAGTTATGGTGTGAGTTAGTATATTTCTACACTATGGCGTAAAGTGACTGTTTTCACTTTTTTGTTTGCAATAGGACAACAAAATTTAATGATTGCTTTTATGAGAGTTTGGAAACTACCAACTTATTTATATCAATACTGGTACATTTATCATCCACGTTTTAGCGAACTTCTCAGCAGAATTTTTTTATTAACACTCACAAATCCACAATTTTGTTTCAGATCCTGAATGAGATTGCTCAACACAAGATCAAGATTTACGAGTTCCCAGAGACAGAAGACGATGAAGAGTCCAAGCTACACAAGGCGTTGCGCGACCGCGTCCCATTCGCTGTGGTCGGCTCAAATACCGTCATAGAGATGGACGGCAAGAAGCTGCGCGGCAGGAGATACCCCTGGGGAATTGTGGAAGGTATGTGTGTTATAATGTTTTAGAAAGGGAACACTATCACCAGAGCAATGAATGATTGCTATAAAATTTGCAGGATTATAGCAATACCTAGAGCATACAGGTGTTGGGTATAAGTGCAATAGTTTTACTAATAATTGATGATATTTGTGGACGAGAGGGTGTGTGGAGGAGTGAAAATAATGGTACTATGGTTGGTGTATGTGTGTTTCAGTGAAAATCTAAGGCATCCAGAAAAATTTTGTGGCTTTACCAAACATTAGTAATAAAATCTTTATAGGTGCTAAGACTGAATTTTAGTTGATCGATGACCCTTAAGTGGGGAAACATCCTCAAAGATTATATTTTTATAGTTCTTTTTTTTGTTGTTGTTAGATAAAACTTGTCATGATTCTAATGTTTTGTACAGTGGAGAACCTGGAACACTGTGACTTTATCGCACTGCGTAACATGTTGATACGCACACATCTGCAGGACCTCAAGGACGTCACCAACAACGTTCACTACGAGAACTTCCGCTGTATCAGCCTGGCCGGCCACGGACCCGACGGCAAACCTTCCCGCATCTCCAACAAGTTAGTATTCTACATCCACTCTTTAGACATTCCATCAACATGTAAAAGCTATAGCCTGTTAGGATGAAAATGAACATATTTGAATTCAGCCACTAACAAAGTGTGTTGATGTGAACTTACAATTTCTGTCGCGTAAGCCAACTTTTCAACAAAGTTCGTTCAGATACCTGCTGCGTAATCAAAATTTTTGCCTGTGCCACAACTAGTATCGACTTCTCTCATGATGTCATAAGGCATTGAAGGATACCACAATCAGATTGTCGATTTACATACAGTACATTCAGCACGTCAGACTCACACAAACACAAGAATTTTAACTGCGGACATGTAGAGTTTAGACTAGTTCCTACATCCATCCGGTCATGTCACATCATTCGTTGTTACTGCTGTGTCCTGTCATTTAATCGTTTTACCACCTTATTGTCACAGATTTTATGTTGATTTTATGTACTTGTGTCAACGACTTAAATGTTTATGACCTTCTAAAGAAGCGATTGAGACATCCTTCAATACCTGATTATGACTTCATGTGAAGTCGAAACTAGTTGCGGTATTACAACAATGTGGATTTCGCATATGCAGATTAGTTAAACCTATTTTCATTTTGATATTCCAACCCTAACACGCTAACATAAACTTTTTACCAAGCCAATCTGAAAGAATAACTTAGGCCTATTGTAAAACTAACTTCACAGTAACGAAAACATTAGGAGTAAATAGAATTTTAGACAGAAACTCAATCTCCGAGTAGATCGTTGAACTAAGTTATTTTTTTTTTAAATTATCTACAGCTGGTCCATGTAGATGGGATCATCTTGTAATTTGAAGATGATCATTCATCATTTATTCCGTCAGTGTCAAGAAAAGTGTTACCGGAAATAATACGTATACAAACATTTGTTATTCATGATGGCAGTAATACTTATCTTTCGGAACAATAACGCTTACCTATCTCTTTTACTAGTGAGTACTACGACTATCCGCATTACTATCCTGATAATTAGACCAATTTGTTATTTACAAGGAAAAAATGTGGTTCAGATTCCACTATCATAAACATAATGATAAACGTTGTCATGTTTGCGCCCCCATCTTAAATAATTGATATATTGAATTGTTAGTTTATTTGAAAGTAGCCTAATATATAATGTTTAGTTAGCTAAACTATTTTATAGTTTACACATATTTATTTTTACTTACATTATCTTGTTTTTACCTAGTTTTTGTTGGAAAAACATTTGGCTTAGAACTTTTCGTGTGTAAACTGCCTGGAATTATTTTCTTTATGTGGGTTTGTCCTTTTTCAATTCCTTAAAAATCGTTTTTCATCTTCAAATTTTAACTAATACAAGTTGTTATCATAGATATTGACTTGATAAGGACAGGACTGATTTAACACATGCACAAAGGATTCAACAATAAATTTCTCATTTGCTTTGCTTGGTGCCTTGCTTTGTTAATGTTCTATGGTTTTCAACTTATAATTAGGCTATTTAAACTCATTAAACACTCTCAAACTTGATGGCTATCTTTGTATACTGAAAAGAAATTGTAATTCAAAACTATTTTACGTTATTCTCTAAATGTAAAATAAACATGCACCCTGACTACCTCTTTCAGACAATTGTAAACATTTAGTGCCAAGCACCTTTACGAGCTTTGCTTTGAATGTTCCGCTTCCATACAGCAAGTGTTTGCCAACTCTAGTTCTGTGAACTGCATGTTACTGTCTGTTTCACATTCTGATGCCTGTCAATTGAGGTTTACTAGTTCAATCCTGAGCAGAGTGTAAGTTACGTTTTATACACAGTTTAGCTAGCGTGAGATATAGACTCTTTCGTAAGGTCCATGGAGTTTTTCTGCTCTAACATGATGAAGGGGACCTTGGAATGATCCTGGTGGACGGAATTTTGACCTTATTCCAGTTATTTGCGATATAAAATCTATTAAATGAATAAACTACAAACGTAATCAGTTTTTAAACGGTAGAGCCAGTGGTGTTATAAATTTTCCAGTGTGGGAGTATGAGAACGCTCATCATCTTCAGAAATTATTATCACAATATGCAGTCGCTCACGATTTTGCCATGATCAAGGGAGATGTTCCCTATTTTACTGCGAATGGAGATGTTTGCAATTTTACCACGATTGCAGAAGATGATATTTTTTCTACAACTGCGGGACCTGACCACTGGTTATGCTCATGATTTTGCCACTACCACTGGATAGTTTTTGATTACGCTGCGACTACTGAACAAGTCGCCGGATAAGTTCTTGATTTGTCCGCCATCTTAGGAGAGGATTAACTTATTAAAACTGCTAAACCCATTCAGCTGTTGAGTTATGACTCTAAAAAAAAAACAAAGGTCGCCTATAAATATTTAAGATTTGAGAAAAACCGTCTGGGAACATTGTTTTCACACTGCTCCACTACCACTGGCTTACAGCAGACAGAATGTGGAACAGACAGTAGTGTATATAAAGCTTGCTGGCGACCTGATATTTTTCTGATGGTTTGGTAACCCTGTTTGACTTCAGTTTGTGCTCTCAAGGACTGAACAACACATTCATGACTGTTTGGTAAGTGTACATCTGGGGCCAGCAAGCTTCCACACTGTCTTGTGTAATGCTATTTTGAATATGTTTGTGAATACAGTACACCCTCTCTGAACTGACCTTTACCTAAGGGTCGCAAGGCACTCTTTGCATATTAAGTTGAATACGGAACCTTAGCCTTAGATCGGATGATGTCAGTTAAAACCACTGAGCTAGATGGAGGTAACACTAGTTTAAAGTTTGACTACTTCAAACGAGCAATTGTTTTGTTGGTAAGGTTGTAGTTGACTATAGTCTGTACGATGGAACTGGTCTCCTGACCTTTCCCTAGGGTCTTAAACCATTTTCAAGTCCCCAAGTAGACGGATTTTCAGGAGACAGGTTCCATCATACCGACTATAGTCTTGTAAAAATTATCCTAATGCACTACAAAATGGCTTCCAGCACCACAAAATCCCCTTGATAAGTGCTACCACCAGATATTAATCAAATTTTAGATCAGTGGTTAAATGGGATACTATGTGAACTTATACTGTGAAAATACTCTCGAATATGATTATTTGGCTGAAAATAACATTACATTAAGTTAAATTTCAATCAAGCTATTCTATCCTGAAGAAGATTATTGGGTTCCGTGAAATGTCAGGCTTATTCTCCAGGACGATTGTGTGGGATGTGAGTATGAGTTTCTCTAACTGTATGACCAGTTCTGTATATCACCAAATAATAATAAAGATGAGAGAAGTCCACAAATTTGTACAAAATACTGAACGCGATCTACTGGTTCACCTGACTCTGACCTTTGTACTATATTCAAGAGAGGTGTACTGTTCTTTATAGTGTTGCTGATGTATTTTTTTCTAGTTCTTGTGTGGTATTTTACTTATTGTTTGTGATGTTTTATGATTTTTGTATAGGCTTTATGTTCTTTTGTTTCAGTCTTACTGGTCCCAAAAATTAGTGTTTAAAGTGCATGTTCGTGTTTGTTTGGTTTTTTTCTTACATTTTAGTTTTTTGTCTGAACTTGGTATTGGTAATTGGTCATTATCACTTTATCCTTAAAAAATGTATCACTCTAATTGGTGTTAATTTTTTAATAATTAGTTTACAAATTGTTAACAAAAGATTGTAAACTTTTTCATAAGTTTGGGTAAGAATTATTCAAAATCAAAGTTTGTCCCAGGTTTGTTGTAGTCCTACCTCAATGATTTTAGCATTTTATGTAGTTTTGCACTGTAGAATTTTTTAAATATCATTTTGCTTGTTTGTATTTTCTCTTTGAATTGCCTTAATACTCATATCTGGATTTGATTGTACATAATAAATAAATTTTCTGTAAATTTTTTTTGAACTTTTACATACAATTTTGTTTAATTGATTGGTAAATATTGTAAATAAAATTAATAGCAACTAAAAATGTTGGTTTTATGTTTGTAAAATGCTGCTTCCGGTTATTTAACTCATTCAATTTTAATTTCTCAATCATGATTGAATAAAACAATTATTGAACATATTCAGAAATTTTAGACGGATCATATACTTGAAATTAAAAAAAAAAAAAACTTAACCAAATAAATAGGTTAGTTACTTGTTACGGTTGTAAATTTCATAAAACAGATATTCACAATCAAACTAAAAAAATTCAGCATTTGGTCAAATAATAATGAATCCCAGACTGCGCAAGGCCCGAGGACTCACACAGATGCACAGTTGTAAACAAAATTAATATCTTAAAAAAACCTATGAAATTCATGGTAATTCACTAACTTATTTAATTTTATTCAAGGGAAGGCTCTAGGCCAGGATTTTGAATTGTAGAATAAGGAGGATAGCAGCTAGCTTATCTTGAAGTGTAAGTAGGCCACTGAACATGCACTTCTTCATGGTAAGCTAGCCTCTGTCCTCCTTTTTTGTACAATTCAATAACCTATTTAATTGTTATAGACTTCCAATCCAGGAGGCAAGTAATATGGATAAAAGCTTATTACATTTTTTATTAAATGCTTGGCTTACCCTAGTTTAAAATTGTTAGGTCATAAAAACTTAAAGAATATATACAGAAGAACCTCGGTAACAAGTGTCTGGGGATTATCAAATAAGACTTGTTATCAAGGTTAACTTCTTATTGAGGTTTGCAATAACACGTAATAAGGGAATAAGATTGAGGATGGTATATGAAAATTACACTTGTTATCCAGGATCTTGTTATTGAGGTTTCACTTTACATGTTTTGGGCAGCGATCAGATTGTGGTGAGATTTTAGATACGATTTGTTCTTGACATTTATTTAACGTATCGCATCTGTGCAGGAACCCATTGGCTCAGATGGAGGAGGAGAAGCGAGAGCACGACACTAAGCTGAAGAAGATGGAGCAAGAAATGGAGCAAGTGTTTGAGATGAAGGTCAAGGAGAAGAAGCAGAAGTTGAAGGACTCTGAGATTGACGTGAGTTGTACAGTTTTATCTTTCTGTTAGACGAGGTTAGTTTATGGTAGAGATAGCTTTTTAGATTCAAAAGGAACAGAAAATAAAAGAATTAAAATTATACTTTGCATTCTGTTCTCCTTGCTTTTCTTCAGGGTAGGCTAGGTTTGGGGAGGTAGTTAGGACGTCTTTTCTATTGTTTCTGAGATGCTAGTTTTGGTTCGATAGTATAATAGGTCAAGCTAGGTGAGGGATATGTTTTATTTTATTTTGTTTAAATCAACAGGAATTATTTACGTCTTTAGTACAGTAAGGCTACTAGTCCAAACCCTGGTCTTGGTATCATTTGACAATTTCGTTTGGATGATACCATCATTAATTGATAGACAAATGTTAGATTAGTTTCAAGGGAAAAATGGATTGAAAAGAAGGCAGTTGTCTTAAAGAAGATAAATATCTTAAGTATGCCAATTCTACTCACCATCCAACCTGTTTTCAAAAAGTTTATGTTTCAGTTTACAGTGTAATGTAAGGTTAGGAAAGGTACGGTTGTAGCATATGAAAATATTAAGAAGGAGAATGTTGCGTGTATATCTTCTTTCCCCCTGTTGGTCTCATAGATTAGATTACCTAAGGTATGTTCTTTCAACCTGTTTTTATACATTGCACAAAACTCCCTCTCAAATGTTTGAAAAACGATAGTTCACCCATTGTAGTTATAAATCTTTCTGATCGTAACGATCTTGTCTGCAACAGTTGCAAAGGAGGCACGACCAGATGCGCAAACAGCTGGAGGCCCAACAGTCCGAGCTGGAGGAGAAGAGGAAGGCGCTGGAGGCTGAGATTTCTGCTTGGGAGACACAGAACGGAGTCAGCCTAGAGGAGCTGCGCAGGCGCAGTCTAGAGAGAGAGTGAGTAGACATTACATTACGTTGGAACTTTCCAAGACCAGAGGTGTGCGGGCTTGAGATTCTCGATCAAGTCAAGCTTTTTTTATCGTGTTAAAATTCCTTATAATATGCAGAGCCTGTCTAAAGCTTCTTCAAAAGGTGCGGCTCCACAGGGTCCCAGCGCAAGGTGTTTCCCGGTCACGGTCACTGAAGTCACTGGAAAGTAGCAGATTTTCATTTTAAGATTCCAAAAGTCACGGAAAAGATAGGGGCTAACTAAAATAGTTCCCAAACCTGCCTTTTGTTTTACACCTTTCTGTAGGGAATGATTGAATTCATAATGCAGAATCAGAGAGCAACATATTTTGGAAGCAGGCAACCAGCTGCAAATTGTTACGGCACATTTTATTGTATGTCTGACTATCTCATGTTCACGTTACTGAAAAGTATTGTCTACCAAAGATAGTATGTTTTAACGTCCTCCCTTCCCCCTAAAGTCACTGAAATTTAGTTTGATCAAATCGTAAAAATCCAGATGGTGGAAATGTTTAAGTTTATGAATTTTACATCAATTATGAAATAGAGTGGGATTATAAATACTAGTATTATACATTGAGATTTGTGTTAGTATTGTTGGGAGGGATACAACTTTTTTGGTAGGAAGGGGCCCTGCTCTGAATGCTTTGTTTGTGCTGGGCACCACCACCACCCAAGGATAATTCTGTCAATAGAGGGCCGATGGGTTACAATTTGACCAAACAAAATCTCATTAGTTTTCTAATAAAAAATTTGGAGTAATTTGCATAAAAAATATTATCAAAATCTCATTATAAATATCCATTATTGAGGCATTATTGTGATCATATTCTGCGATCACAGTGACATCGGAATCAATTTTAGTGATTGTGGCCGCAATCCGCAACTAATCAAGAGTTTGTGATCGCACAATCTTCACAGATGCTTTAAACAGACCAAATAATATCATGAGGGTTACGTCTTCACTCGGCTTGGTTTTCTCTTGTGAGCTTTTAGACTAGGCTCAACTTGACTTGGATTTCAAGAAGCTCGCACATCTCTGTTGGTGACTTTATACAAATAAAGAAAGTTAAAACTTATCTATATCCTCGATAGCTCTATAGCTGCCCTGACAGTAACTTTGGGAGTTTTAGTTTTAATATTAATTTTTGATCCTACAGCAAAGAGAGATACTATGTGGGTAATATTTAAGTCTACTTTTGTATAACCTTTTTTGCTCTTTTGGTCTTCCGTTTTGTTCATAAGAACCTTCTTTAACCCCAGTGTTACTTTTAAAAGATTATGTAATTGTTTTTGTTCACCTTTTTAAAGTTTTTTTGTATTTGTTAAAAATGTTGGACAATAGTATATTACGTTACTAGTCCTGAAAATAAGTGTTTACCGGACGAGTGTGGTCGTTCCCGTGCGAGACGAAGTCGAGTACGGGATTACCATACGAGTCCGGTACACACATTTTGGACGAGTTACGTACGATAGTTTACGCCATACTACTTAATTCGTACGAATCCTTATATATTTCAACCGACTAAAGGACTAAACATCACCAGTCATAACCTCTAAGAGAGGTTATGTTTTTGTTTATAACCAATCATTGCCACGCAAATACAGTATAATCAGCTGATTGGTGTCCGGTAAAACTCATTGCAGAACAGTATTACGCAATGAAACCCCATTTGAATAAGCTGGCGGTAAACAGCTGTTTTCTGGACTAAATCCTTGCGTGGGAAGTTCGTCAAAATAATGTAGTGTGGCGTAAAAACCATTGTAACATTAGATTAGAGTAAATTTTGACTGCCTTATATCATCAATCAAATTATTTTTTGAGCATTTTAAATTTTTTGTCCATCCTTGAAATAAAGAGTGTCCCTTGAAGGTTTTTTTTCAATTACTATACCAGACATATCGAACACCCTACAAACTCTACAATGAAATAAATACATATGTAATAAATACCCTGAGTCTCATTGGATTCCAATGAACTACTTAAAAATGGCTGAGGAACAAAATAAGAACTAAATTAGTAAACAAGTTTGCTAGCCAGATTAGAAAAGTGCACATCGGTGTTTCTCCATTTTGTTCTGATTGGTCGAAATCAAGAGGGACTTGGGGGTGTTCATTTTATGTATGTATATGTTGCTGCTGTTGAGTTTCAAGCTTGTAGCGTGTTTCAATGTGTCTTGTATATTGAATCAAAAATAGCAACCACTTGGGACACCCTATATATTTTGTTGTACCAATTGAGTTAGTTCTTAGAGTGCAAGTTGTTCTAGAAAGTTATAATTGAATCTAGCGAATTTCCGATTGTTTTTACATGCCGAAACATTGTTTCGGAACCCGTTTTTACCAATTTCATTTAAGATTTTAAACAGAATTTTTATGTTTATTGAGTTTTTTTTATTTGGAGATAAAATGTCATATAGTAGTTTTTTTTTCAAACAAGGTTATTTTTCATGTAAGAACATTTTTTTATGTTTCCAAAACTGTTTTTAAAATATGCACAGTTTTGGTGGTGGCAAATTTATGTCTTTTGAGGGATTAATGCAAAATCTTGTCCGTCACATTTAGTAAATACCCCCGCCGCAGCAAACCTGCAGACTAAGCGAATTTCAACTTGTATGATTACATATTTACTAAAATACTTCCATAAATAAGACATATTTATTCCCAATTTAAATAACGTTAGATAGGCTATAACGAGTGCTTAGGTTTGCTGCTACGGGGAAGGTAAACAGTGTTTTATGACCAAACGTCAATAGTATAGGATGAAATAAATAAGTTTGCCAGATTTGATCAACATATATCCATAAACAAGTAAACTACAACAGTTTTCATTTTCTCCATAAGAATAACATGGGAATTCTAAATTTGCATTTTTTTTTTCATTTTCTCCGTGACTGTTAGGCATACAACAATGCTCCAATATACTAAATTTTTTCTTTTTTTAAGCTCTACAAAATGGTTGGGAAAGAAATTCTAAAATTTTATGTTTTTAGGGTCAAAAATGGGAAAAACATAAAAAACATAAAACCCCCCATCATAAACCCCTGTTCCCATGGTCCGATTATGCTGGATCGCGAACTCGTTCGAATAAATGTAGGTTTACACATTTGTACCAAATTTCATCAAAATCGGATCTTTTTTGCTCGAGTTATCGCGCTAACGGACACACATATATATATATATAAATATATATTTACATGAATTGGAACGGATGGTGTTTTTGGCCTCTAGGGACCTCAAAACGAAAAAAAAAATCGGTCCCGCGTCCAGGTCTTACCATGAGTACTACGGTAATAGCTTATTCCCTATATGGGAAATTCGCTAAAAGGATGAAAACTTTGTTTTTTTTTACACTTCTGATTGAAAATGTCCACAATAATTCCTCAATTGACTTAAATATGCACAGTTTCTTTGAATGACCATGATCTTACTTTAACTACGACGCAATATAGTTTAGCGAATTTAACCATAGCATAGAAATAGTTGCTTTAGGCTATTTTATAATTAAAGGGTAAGTAAATTCTAGAAAATGCATCCCTTAATAGACAATAGTTATTAATTGTACATTTGGAAATCGATACGCAAACAATAGCTGCAATAATAAGTGGGCATTTTGATTTGGTAACGTTGCTTTTTAGTTTTTATCTATTGACAATACTGCTTTCAAATTAATGCTTAAAGCTTGCTATGATCGCTATGGGTATCTTAACTCCAGTAAAACCATTATGCTTGATACTGCATATTTACGGTCATAGAATTTTGCGGGATATGAAAACATGCTTATAGTAGTTTAAAGGTGTACTTGTGATGAACAACTTTATCCTGAATGAAAAATTGCTTTTTAAATCAATTAATTGTGATTTCTGATTTTTGTTGGGGTAGCAGACTTATCTGAATAAAGTTTATCCCGGGAGAATCAACGGAATACTTTACATTATATGGTCAAATGTTGCCATGAACATATTTCTTCCTAACTAAAACCTTCCTAGGTTGATAAACCATCGTACCTCCAAACAATTTTCATTTAAAAATTTTTTTTAATGGTGATTTTTTTTCTTAAACCAAAGCCTGCTATCTCCAAAAAAATAACACAATCCCTTGTACCCTGATACATCACAAACCTCAATTATTTTTGGGGATTTTGGGGGAGTGAGCTGTAAGTATGCTATAGCGCGGGACTTAAGTGCCTGAGGTCCCGTGCTCAAATCCCCACCAAATTACCAATGGATTTGAAGTGATAATGCTGCAACCCCTGGGTTTAGCCTGAAGTAATGTGAAAAACAATCCCGGGCTCATGCCTAGCATCCTAGGAAAAAAAATTTCTTTGGATCTGAATTTTTAAAAACCAAATCCACTTGCATTGATTATTATTCAATTAATTTGGCGAAATGTCTTTTCTGGATTTAGTATTTGATTTTTGAAGTGTCAAACCCTTAGTTGTAAACATTTTGTTGTACGTAGCAAGGAATTTGTAGTGTGTGAAAAAGTAATGAAGTAGTGACATTTTAGAAAGTAGATTAGATATTCAGTAGAATTGCCACAAAATTGTAGTTAAAAATGAATCTTAGGTAAAAAAAAAGCACCTGCTATACATTTTGTGTACATGCACCATAAGATTGCTTTGAAAATATAGACTAGAGTTTAGTCATTGTTAATTTCAAAGAACTTACCTTAGATTACTTGTTCTGTAATTTCAGTTAGAAAAAACTCAAAAGTTTGTCAAATTATTGTATAGAAAATATAAATATTTCAGTTGTATTATTTACTCAATGTAATAAATTGTATTTTGAAAACCAAAAAAAAAACATGTAATCAGTTAAATTGGACGATTTCTAATACAAATTTTAATTGGAAAGGGTTCTTATGAACAAAATATTGATAATACACCTCCTATCCTGATCCAACATATCAATAATTGTGGGCTTATAATAATAATGGGAACTACAATAAAAATATTGGGATTTTAATTACTATTTATTCATTGC